TGCAAAAGGGCGGGGAGGGGAAGATTGGGGAGTGCAAGCCCCTCCGCTTTGCTGCTGTTATAACTTTGAGTGGGAAGGATTTGACTTCTGTTCTGTGCCTGGGTTTTGTAACCCACGTTGCAGTGACACTGGGCATCGTCTGATTATTGGTGGGGTTTTTTGCTGCCCCCCGCTCCCTTTGCAATATTAATCCGGTTGGCAGCTCGGCTAACGATCGGGGGAAGGATGGCCTTGATGGGAAGGTGACGAAGCAAGGCAGAGGTCCATTTTCCTTCTTATTTAAAACTGCCTCCCTTTTCAATTCATCAAGTCTCCTCTCTCCAGATTCAGGGGGCCCTTGTCTCCTTTATTCCATTGGTTCAGCTGCCCCCCACCTCACCCCTTTCCCCTCCTCAGGCTGGATTTAATCTAAGCCCAGAGTAGGACATAAAACAATGTGATGTGCTTGAGGTAAAGTCACTCCAGAGCAGTGGCAATGCAAGTTGCTGCATATCCTCTCAACAGAATTCTCCCTCCGCAACAGCTTGTTCATGCAAGTGTGAAAATCTTGCTGGCACATCTGCAAACCTGTGCATATGCGTGGACGTAAATAAACCCAAGCATAGCTGAAGAGATGCAAAAGTCCATTGCATGTGTGCCCACATGTATAAGCCTGTGTGCACAAGAGTGCATAACCTGGGCGCATGCTTGCACTCAGCATGTAAAGCTACATGCATGCATATATAACCATGTATGCACATGCACACATGAACATCAGTTTGCAAGCATGTGAATAAGGGGGAGGATTATCACATTTCCTCTTTAGATGAGGAGCTAGACTGGCATGTTAATTTCTACAGGTGGTGTTAGATTTTGAAGACATTTTCTCCTTAAGGGCTGAAATGCATTTCTAAATGACTGAAAGAAAACCAATACTCCTACACTTGAGAGAGGCTCTGACTAACCTCTGGAAAATTTTAGTTACAGACAAATGATGCCTGCATGATACATAGGGCCAGTACTTGGCACTTGGCCGTCCTTAACCACTCACACCCAAGACCTGACCTATTTACTCTAGGGCAGTCTGATTCCAAACCCTGCACCAAGGTTCCTGGATTTTGCATGACTTGCAACAGACTGGGGATTATAGTAGACCTGTGCTAGTGATTTTAATAGTAAACTCTATAAATAAATTGAATCCCCACATTTTCATTGTTTCCACATGCCATGGATTTGTGTGTGGACAATACAAAATGGTAGCAAAGAAATTGTCAGTAGCAAGAGCAGAAGTTTTGGGCAACTTTTGGGAAGGCATCAGAGATATTTTAGAGATATTAAATAAGCACAGGAGTGGGGTGTTACTGCTAAAATGATTGGCCGTGAAATAGTTAACTGACATTTAAATGGCCATTGTTGGGTTCAGTGTTAACATCCTATTGAGACAAGTGGGGTAGTTCACAGCTCTCAGACCTATTGTTTCAGGCTGGCTGCAGACTCAGGAAGACAACACTGAGCCAAGGTTGCACTTCATTGATGCTTTTAAGACAGGAATCAGCAACCTTTGGCAAGTGGCCCATCAGGGAAATCCGCTGGTGGGCGGGACGGTTTGTTTACCTGCAGCGTCCGCAGGTTTGGCCGATCGCAGCTTCCACTGGCCGCGGTTCGCAGTTACAGGCCAATGGGGGCTGGGGGAAGCGGCGCGGGCTGAGGGATGTGCTGGCCGCTGCTTCCCGCAACCCCCATTGGCCTGTAACGGCGAACCGCGGCCAGTGGGAGCTGCAGTCGGCCAAACCTGCGGACGCTGCAGGAAAACAAACCGTCCCAGCCCACCAGCAGATTTCCCTGACGGGCCGTGTGCCAAAGGTAGCTGATCCCTGTTTTAAGTTTTTCTTCACAACTTTAGGGCCTACAAATTCAGTCGTGTTAAAATGAAAGCTCGCTTTATGAAGTCTTAGTGGCTAACACGCCCACCTACATAGATTCCAAGGCCAAAAGGGACCATTGTGATCATCTAATCTGACCTCTTGTATAATGAAGGCCAGAGAACTTCCCCAAAATAATTCCTAGAGCAGATCTTGTAGAACAACATCCAATCTTGATTTTAAAATGGTCATTGATGGAGAATCCACATACCCCCTTGGTAATAATTTACACCTTAATTCCAGTCTGAATGTTTGTAGTTTCAACTTCCAACCACTGGCTTGTGCTATACCTTCTTCCACTAGATTACGCAGCCCGTTATTAAATATTTGTTCCCCCTGTAGGTACTTACAGACTGTAATCAAGTCACCCCTTAACTTTCTCTTTGTTAAGCAAAGTAGATTGAGCTGCTTGAGTATAATTATAAGGTATGTTTTCTAATCCTTTAATCATTCTCATGGCTCTTCTTTGAGCCCTCTCCAATTTATAAGTGTCCTTCTGGACTAGCAGACACCAGAACTCATTAACAATATTCCAAGCAGCAGTCGTGCCAGTGCCAAACACAGAGGTAAAATAACCTCGCTACTCCTACCCGAGATTCCCCTGTTCATGATCGCATTAGCCCTTTTGGCAACAGTGCCACAGAGGGAGCTCCTGTTCAGCTAATTATCCACCACAAACCCCAAATCTTTTCCAGTCACTGCTTCCCAAGCTAGAGTCCCTTCATCCGCAGGTATGGCCTACACTTTGTTCCTAGATGTATACATTTAGCCACATAAAAACACAGATTGTTTGCTTGGGCCCAGTTTACTACGTGATCCCGATTGCTGTCTCTCGGTGACCTGTCCTCTTCATTATTTACCACTCCTCCAATTTTTGCATCATCTGCAAGCTTTATCAGTGGCAATTTTATGTTTCCTTCCAGGTCACTGATAAAAATGTTAAATAGTGTAGGGCCAAGAACTGATCCTTACAGGACCCCACTAGAAACACATCTGCTCGATGAGGATTCCTCATTTACAATTCCATTTTGAGACCTATCAGTTAGCCAGCTTTTAATCCATTTAATGTGTGCCCTGTTTATCTTGTTCTAGTTTTTACAGAAGTGCCATTATCTTCCAAAGGCCCCCCACATCCCCCCAATCACCCACACTGCGATAGGTTTATCACCTAGTGTTTTACATCCACACTGCTATCTCTAGACCGCCTCTGGGACTGGCAGCTCCTCATTATTTATTTGTACTAGAGTGGCATCTAGAAGCCCTTATTGAGATCAGGGCTGCAATGTGGCAGACACCGTACAAACCCAACGCAAACAATCCTCACTCCAAAGCGTTTACAATGTAAACAGACAAGCCAGACAACTGGTGAGAGAAAGGAAGGATTATCACCCCCTTTTTACCCATGGGGAAGTGAGACAGAGGTTAAGTGTCTTGCCAGTCACCCAGGGAGTCTGTGACTGAGCTAGAATTAAGCTCACTCCACATGATCCCTAGACCAGTCCTTTAACCATAAAGCCACACTTCCGCTCTCCCACTCCTGTGTGTGCCATACAGCACACGAATGGAACACAGCTGCTCCTTTATTTAACTTACCTTGTCTCAATAAGACTACAATTCTGTTGCGAAGAGGAGAAAACAAACAACTCAAGTGCTTCTTCCCCACCCAGGCTTTTTATGCAGATCAGAACTCTTCCAGCACAGGATCACCTAATGAGGTTTCATAGATCCTGCCATAGACAGGTTAATTTTCTAGCATGGCAGCTAGAAAACAAATGGTGACACTACCCCCACATTTGGCCCTTTTCTCCTTCACTCTGGCAGAATTTTTGAGGGGTGGAATGGGGAAGAAGTGATTTGGTATATTAAAGTCACCATAAAGAGCTCACCGTAAGGGTGATAGTCATTTCATTGCCCAGAGGCCTTGCAGAGTTTGAGCCATGGCGCTGCTCTCCTGGAGGGACGGATAAGAA